CAAAAAAGATTATCAAATTTCCTGCTTGCTACAGAAGGGCTGGGCTCAGCAATTCATAAAGAGACAATGTGGGTATACCAGCAGTCACATCAAAATGTGCAAAACGTTTACAAGTGTTGATTCTAAAATGTTTAGGTATACTAAAGCTGTGAAAGAATTTGCTTTCATATTTGGCTAGAAATTTAGATCTAAGAAAAACAGTATTATGGGTAACTTAAAACTGGTCATTTGTGAGTATTCAGTTAATTATTCTTTTATTGCATTTTTCATATCTGCTCATTCTCTGAAAAAGAAAATACATTGATAAGTGTTGAAGCCACACTTACATTTCAGCACAGGAGCTCATCCAGATGAGAACCTGACTGCAGTTTAATTGCAGGAGTAAAATGGCTCAGGCAGAATTGAGTAATATTTTAGAGGTCTTTTTATGTTAATGATATGTTTGTACATTTCTCAGAGTGTGTAATATCTGCCTGAGAGACTGGAATTTGTATGAAGAAACAATTTCCTGTCTCCCCCTGGTAAATAATGTATTTAAATAGGAGTTCTACAAATGTGTATTATGTGTAGACTGTCTCTGAAGGAACTGTTCTAGTCTGGCAGCTAAATACTATTTATAAATGTTTTAAAATCCATATTATAGACCACCAAAGTATGATGGTTCTTTCTGGAATGGTTCCAGGCTTTTGTGCAAATACATATTTAAGATGTGTAAGACGTATACCATTTATATTAAACAGACATACAGACCAAAAAAAAAACAATCACACCTCTAGAAAAGACAAGTACCATGCCCTGGACTCAGTCTGATGAGTACCAGAGTCTTTGCCCAAAATTATTACTTTCCATTCACTTTGATTTGAAGGCACTTGACATTTTATAGCAAATACTCAGCACCCATCAGAGTAGCGGGGTAGAAAAAGACTCTAAGGAGTCAAAAAGATAGGTTGTATAAAATACTTAAGGATGGGAACATGAACATATGTGCAGCTCTATTAGTAGATGAAAAGGCTATACGTGGTTTTTTGGACTGTAATGAAAGGGGGAGTCAGGGTAGGGGCTACCAAATGTACACAGCCCCTCACAGAAGGAACTTAACATCCATTTCCAGTTGGCTTTGCCATTACACACATGAAACAAGGAGGGTAAATGATACATTCTAACATATACCTGTGCTTTTAGTAAGCAGCGGATGGTTTGATCCTTCATATTTACACCATTGCATATGCATAAGACATACTAATTCTTCCTGGTTTTAAAATGGGAAATATGTACAACACTGGCCTAAGAGCTGGCAAATTAGTTTTCCACTCAGAACAACTCAAGTTGTCTCACTCGTAAACCCCATGGAAAATGGAGTTTATATTGCTAAATCCTTTTTAACCTCACTATAGCAACACACAAGATACCTCTGAAATATACTTTATGCTAATTTTATGATCCAAAGCCAGTCTTTGAGGTGTATGCTTGCTTTTTATTGGCTGTCCTTCAGATGAGAATAATTCTGAATTCACTAATCATGATTAGTGCCTGATCTCCGTAGTTCCAGAGTGTCACCATGGCTGAATATAAGAAGTTATTGTATATGTATCTTCTCCCCTGATCTGCTGCTCTTGCTGTTTAGGCTGAGACTCAGAGATGGAATAGTAGTTCACATACTCTGAACACATGCAAATCAACCATCTGTGTTCAAAAGATTCAATAAAGTACATTCTTTACCATTTTCTAAGGAATAAATGGGGCATTATTAATTGTAATGATTAAAAAAAAGTCTTAAAAAAAAAAAATCTGAGTTCCACTGAAGGCCCATTAGTAATAAGAAAACCAAAAAACCTCAAACCCAAACAGTTGCCACATCTGCCTAGCTCTAAGCATCGCCAAGTCTTTGGAGCTGAGCCATGTGCTTCACGAGAATGAAATAAAATGTCTATCTACACTTTTGACCTCTTTTAAAGAGAAGTTCTCTTCTTAGCTCCATTCCCAATTTAATCTCACTGGACTAAACTCTCTAGGCAGCATGAACTGTACTTCAAAAGATGCCTTGAAGAAGGAATTCTGAATTAAAGGGACACAAGTCCTATTTATGTATTCCAGACTAGAGATACAATAGCATCTAAGTGTGGCTTTAGTCTCTACTTATTCTCTAAAAAGACCCACTTGATATTCTCCCAATTCTTATTCACTCAAAAGCTGAGAGATGCTTAGTAACTGCTACTCTCCATGGCTTTCAAGAGGATTTTCAAGTAATCTTGATTCTATTAAAGGGCAATGCCCTGTTTACTTTAATGGGTCAGGCTTTGGTCAGATGCACATAAAATACCTGGGTAAAGACTAGAAAATTAGGTCATCAGTTTTCAAGCCTTCTGAGAGTAGGGAAAGAGGGGTACTCCTCAGTGCCACTAAATCTACACATAAATAATTGCACTTAAGACAGCTGTGCTCTATGGGGAAATTTTCAAGCTGTAAATAGACTCAAATGTTTGCCTTTGTGTTTGAGTGAAGTGGTTGGTCCTGAAAGCAATTTGACACATTTTATTCAGAGTTATCAGCTGCTGCTAACATAAACAGTTTTGAAAATCTCAACTAAAATACATCTGTGATCATTTGGGCTGGATGAAACAGAACGATATTTGTCTATTTGGGAAAACAATGAGCCATGAGCGTTCACTGGAGTTCAGAATTTAATATTACTCAGATGAATCAGTGAAAATATTGGGTGTACTGCTATTTCAGACAGATAAGCTGGAGTGAAAGCACATTCTTCTTTTCATACCTATTAGCAAAGTGTAGTTCTTTTTCCACATTGTAAGAGGCCTCTCTTCTCTTTTTTTTGTGAGTATGTATTGTGCATTTTGCAGTCCGTACAAGGGGTTAAATCCTGAGAGATGATGAGTGATTGCTTATGCATACTGGCTTAAATAGGTATTCCAGAAAACCAGCTTCTGTTTAAGATTCAGTGGTCTTTACATATTGTTTACATCAACCTCATTGCCAGTTTTTTTAAACGAGGAAAGCAATTGCCTTGAATAGCCTATTATTTCCTACTGTGTACATAAGTTGGAAAGCACTCTGCTTCCTTTATACTGCAAAAGAATTTGTCAACAGTCCATTAATATACTTTTATATACTAAGTCTCGTACCTCTAGCACAGAAAACAGACTTGAGAAGGCTGGTTCTTTTTCAGACAGGAATGAAAACCTTTGACTTTTCTTCTAAAAAATAACTAAGTGAAATAGAAGATAGAGCCAAAAGCCAGGAGCCACAGTTATTCCCGGGTCTGGAATAACTATGAGATTCTAGAATTCCCTGTAAGGTACTCATGAAACGGGATTCAGAAAGCATGAAATGCTCCAACTTCATTAACATTTCATATCCTTCAATCAGTTTAGAAGTTTGAATCTATGTAAACTGACTCTGCAGTCTACGCTTTTAGTCTGATTGATTTGATGTAACTAGTGATGTAAATAGTTGGCCAGAGCAGCAAGCAAACTATGTGAAAAGGGACTCTACAAGGGTGTGCATTAGAAACTTTTTTTGGAGACTAAGCTTTCCTGATGAAACACGTTTATTCCTCAGTTTTTTTCCATTCTTGTTTACACTATGTGAAGTACTGAGGGAGAAAGTTCTCTCTTGTTCATATTTTGCCCAGAAATTCTCTATTAGTTGCAGATAGGCTGTCTTTGAGGGTTTAGCATAGATAATTTCATACCTGTGCATGCCTAGCTGTTATCCATCTACAATCTCAGCATTATTTGCAGAGTATCTCTATACTCTTCAGCTGCCATTAAAATATTTTGCATGATACCTGCTCTTAGAGATATATATTGTCATGTGCTCTTACTTTGATTCATATTAAATTTATCCTTAGAAGCTGCAGTTTTGCCAAAAGGTTTCCTAAGGCCTTAATCCTGCCTTGGTAAAGGAACTGACTCTATTAGTGAAAACTGTACAATGATGCATACTGAAAAGACTGATAATTATAAATAATGCCACTAGCTATTCAGGAGATTTGCCATAGCTTTTTTAAGGCATAGGATAATATTCTCCAAGAACAGTAGAAGTGTTAGCAACTGTCTCAGATTTTACTGCCATGAATTAAAATGAGTATTAAATTCACTGACAGCACCATTTTGATATATAGGTGTTTTCAGCTTAATGGCATAGAAAATTCAGCATTAGATTCTTGAACTGGATGAGAAATACAGCTACTACTACAGCACTGGGAGGTGGTGAGAAAGGTTTTCAGGTGAAATTTTAATTTTTCACAAATTTCATACCATATAATGGAAAAACATCATTTTTCTTTAGCACAGTTGTACAAATTTGTTGAAAGCATTAGAAATATGTTTTAACATCAAGCTTTAACTGCTGTCATAAAAATTATATTGAAATCAGCTACAGCACATGCTTCTGTAGACTTCTGTAAGGCCTTCTTACATGATGGATAAATTAGTTTTGAAATTAGTCAACTGTTTACTGACCTTTCCCTATTCAGTAACTCCTTTGTTAGGAGCTTGTGCTGAGTTATTTTTTGTTTGTTGTAAATTTGTCCAAAAGTAGCTAGGATCACTCTGACTTTTGCTTGCTAATGAAAATGGTCACCGAACCAGTCAAAGCAAGGCTTTGTTCAAAACAAAGACTGTCGATACTTGGAGATACAGATACACAACCCCTCCCCAGCACCTCCACACCCAGAGGTAGGTATGTATGCATGTAGAATGTTGGGAGAGATACAATGTTAGAAGAGAAAGTGAGAGCAAGGGAAAAATAAAGCTCTGTGAGCAAGAGCTACTCTTCCACATTAAAACTAAGCCATGCTCCACATTTCTGAGTTGATCAGCAAACCAGGTATCTCTTTAGCCCACACCTTAGGAGCCATCACTTTAGAAAACGATCACAGAAACACTAGCTGCTGTTTGAGCAATTAATAATTTTTTAGTGCAATCAATGAACTATGTTATGCAACCAGCACAAGAAGCAACATTTAGCATTATACAAACCTTGCTGTTCAGAGCCACTTCCACCTCGCAGTAGTACCTCCTGTGCAAGAAGATTGGCTGAGCATCCTCAGACTGGGGCACATTTCTCCAGCACATGAGAACTTCTTAACAACTAGGGAAATAGGAAGAGAGATCATGATTAGATCATGACTATAACTGATGGAAGTAGCATTGTTTCAGGTATCAGAGGACAAAAAAGATAGTGAAGATCCTGAGAGGTGATGAGAAACTCACCTGCAGTTATTAAGAATCCACAAGCAGAGAAATCAGATCAGACACTGCCATGTATAGTCCTAAACAATATAAGCACATACATTTTTATTTCTTCCATTTTTTTTTAAAGCCTCATCTCCAAATACTTAACTCTCATATTGAACACTGCAGGTAGCATGCAACTTGCGTTCATGTTTGTAACTGAACTGTATTTTAATTGTGAAGTTCCTGAATACCAGTGCTCCTATCAGCACCTGAGCAGAAGTCCTGCTCTTGCACAAACTTTGCTTATGCTTATGCTTTCCTAGCTCATGATCAGCAGGATACACAGGTGCATCTCGTAATTCAATTCTTCCTTTCTACTTTAGAAGAAAAACTTGTCCGACATTTTACCCATGGCAGAATTATCATGACCACCAGAGATTCCTTTTTATATTTAACACTCAGAATGACCCTGTATGACTCTGCTGTTGAACCACCTAGTCTGGGAAATATCTGTTATATAAATATCTATTATATAAATTTGGGCACAGAATCCCCCAGTATAAAGATTTCCCCAAGTAGTTCTAAAGATACTGAAATTGGAGAACAGACTATTTCCAGTCTCCCTTGCAGTATGTAGTAAAGTATACTTGCATTCCCCGTAGCTTTTATCAGCATCACGACAATCAGTAACAACTAGGTACCATTCAACACATGAAAACAAAAATGCTCCCTCTGACAAGAACTAACAAGCTAACCAACCACTTCAGACAAGTGCAAACGTTAAGAACAGTGCATGCCTACCCACTCATCTTCCTCCTCTGACCCTCCTCTGTTCATTTCCCTCTGTGTTTCTGTATCATTTGAAAAATCTTGTTAAGATGGTACATCTTATTTATCATTTACCTCTTAATCCCAGTGTGGTATATAATAAGCTGAATTTGTGCTCTTTCAGTGGTGCACACCTATTTCCATAGCTATCTGCATTACACTCAGTGAGAGGGTACCACTCATGCAACAAGGCTGTGAAGCCAGTATGGTAGGATTTGGCTCTTGAGAATGGTCTGACCTTTAAAACTACATTGGCTGGTTACCATTTGGGGCAGCTCTGTGAGCTCTCCCACCATATGACAGCAAACGTTTCCTTCAAGTCTGGGAAGTTCAGTGCTCCCAAGCCAGATACATTCATCAGCTGGGTCATGCTGCAGGCCTTCAGTTGGACGAAGTTACAGTAAGGCAGATGTGCCTCCATTTGGTACTCCCTTGTGACTGGGAAGCCTGCAAACTTCACAGAGATTTCCTATCTGTTCAGCTGCCAATTATATCAACTGGTGCTTGTGCAAACTGGCATATTACAGTTTTGTTTGGATGAATGGTTAGCATTTAAAACACATTCCAGACAAGGTCCCTGGCAAAATATATGCAAAGATGTCTGGTTTGATTTTTCACATTTGTAACCACATAGCCTCCCCCTTGTTTTTGAACTACAGCTCAAGTTTCACAGGCAGTTATTATGTTGATCATCCATCCCCCTTTTCTTCCCTGTTGTCCCTGACCTCATTAGCCTTCTGCATACAGCCTAAGTCCAGTGTGACTTAACGACTTAGCATTTCTTAGTGTAGTGCCTAGCAGTAAACTTTCTGTGTTGAAGCTTGTATGCAGACCACTACAGCCAATATAGTTTCTCACAAAAATGCATCATCTTATACAAGCTGCACAAAAAACTTTTCCACATTTCTGTATGATAAAATAGGTAATCAGATCTGAAAAAACCCTGCTTTCAATAATCCTGTGCAGATGTACCTAAGTTAATCATAATGCAGCTAGAAACCCATATAAACAAATAAGAACAAGAAGAATATAGTAAGGCACAGATGAATTTTGCATTAAGTGTCAGGGGTCAGGTTAGAAGTTCAATACAAACAGAATGTTACTGTTGGTGATGCACATAGGTTCTGTTTTGTACATTTTTTTTAACTCTGTTTTCAGAGAGAAGTTCAGCTCAGAGGTTTTGATTTGGGGCTCATGGCTACACAAAAAGTGTAGCCACCCAAGGTCATGCAGCAAGTCAGTACTTTAATTAGGATTTGATCTCAGAATTTTCATGGCTCTTGGCTATTTGCTCTAACAAGCAGCTGGTACAACCTTCTAAAGATATTTATTTAGATGGTCAGTGGCCAAGAATTAAACCTATTCCAGGCAGCTGTGTTCACCACTCTACTACTCTGTTACTCAGAAATCTAGATAAATCACCACATAATTAAGAGGTTGAATAGCAGTTTCATATGAAGGGATTTGGGAGTTATAGTGGATTGCAGGCCAAACATGAATCACCACATAGATGTTGCACAAAGGGGAAACACTACACTGGGATTATAAACAAATCTACGACCTGCAGGATACAAAAAGAAACTTCTCAGCTCAGCTCGGCACTCACAGGTCCTCAGTTAATTTATGTCTACTTTTGGGAAACACACTTGGGAGAGACATGAAGCAATTTTAGAGAATCCAAAAGATAAAAAACACACAGCTGACAAGGAAAAAAAAAATCAAATGGAGAATTCAACCTGCTCCTCAGGCTGTCGTGAACAGGGCAACAAGCAAAAGGACTAAATTGCAACAAATAAGGTATTGCTTAGACAGACAACTCACAGAAAGCATAACAACAGAGAGTTGAAACTGGTTCATTTGTGATCTGTCCTGTTGTAATGAACACAGAAGACACTGCATATCTGGAATAACATAGTTGCACTTGATTTGTGGTTCTTTCCAGAACTGCAATGTGCTGGAAATTATTGGTATGATGAAACCTTAATCACATTTACGTATTTCAACCAACCTGTACTTAATATCACCTCTCAGTGGCCACTGATATTCACAAAGTAAGAAGTACTAGAAACTCAGTACCCATATCTGTTTCTCACACATACATGGGACTACGTTATCAGAGCATCCATGCAGAGCTGTTCCCTGACAACCCCCTTCCTGTACCACATCCCACGATTGTTACATCCCAGGCTCAGAACGGTGCTCTTGCGTTTACTGAACCTCATGGAATTTTCTGTCAGCTCATTTTTTCATTCTGTTCATAACTTTCTGGGTGGCAGCCCTGTTCTGCTATGAAGCAGATCAGCTACACCATCCCATTTGGTGTCATGCAACAATTTGCTGAGGATTCAATCCCAACAAACAGGTCATTACTGAACACTTAAACAACAGTAGCCATTTATTAGTATCAACTTCTGAGGAACATAACTTATTAACTGGCCACCAGCTGGACTTTGAACCAGTTCATGGTAGTTACTGGATGTCACAGGATCCATACTGCCTTAAACTACCAACATGTGAGCGAGACAAGAGAACCTCATAGAATTAAGCATACTCTATCACTCAGTGTATGTGCACTCCCATATATTTCCCCTAATCCCTGTCCTCACACACAAGATACCCTTTGTGGGTGAAGAGACCAAACCATAGCTTTAGTAACATCATCAGCTTTAGAGTGGGAAAAAACTGTATACAATACCTTATTCAGAAATACCAAATCGGATGCCCATAAATAAGAGGAATTAGGCTTCAAGCAATATTTTGCAAAGGTGTTGACACATAGTATGCTTTGACAGCCCATCTGGTAACTGTGGATGTCATTCAATACTCTGAATTTCCCAGTGAATGGCATGCCAAAATCTCAGTAGAATAAGAAACTGTACACCAGATGCCAATCATTCATTATTTTCTAATTCTCTAAGGAGTATTTTTCATTCAGTTTGGCATTTATAAAGGAAAAAAAATGCTGTGTCTCCATAAATGAAAATTCTGCACTTTTGTATCAAGCCAAGGGTTGACATGATGTATTCAGCCAGGCTTGTCTGAGGGATGACCATGTGCAAGATATGGAAATGGTGATGCTATGAAGAAAAACAAAAGCCTCATTAATGTGCTACTGAATTTAACAAATAAATGAAAATGGAACCAAGACTATGCTCTTATTTTTCCCTGTTCATTTTCATTTTCTATATTATCAGTCTAGGAGAGAGAAAAAAAAAAAAATGAGGCTTCATCCTCTTAAGAGGAACTTCAGCAAAAGGTCCGTGGTGAAGTGTACTGTCAAGTTTTTTACATCTGTTATAGGCTGCTTAAAGTAACGTGTCCTGAAGTACAGAAGGACATTAACAATCTCTGTGTGCATGTTAGTGAGGGCATGTTAGAAAATATAAATAAAAGAACACCTAAGAGTTGCAGGGAAAATTTATTTCCTAAAAATAGTAGGGTCTCCAATTTTCATAGTTTGAGATATATTGTTTAAAGTAATTGAAGTGACTTTTGGTATCAATGTATTTGACACCTTCAGTTCTTGCTGAACTGCTGCAACACATATATGCAATCTTCCTTCCACCCACACCAAAGCCAGCCCACCCAAGCAAATTGACTAGAACATTTTTGAGCTTATGTGAAGTATCTTCAAGAAAATGCATCTCTCTCTGAAAATATTTTACATATTTTCAACAATTTTACTTATGTCAAGGTTTTGTTTTAAATCAGGTTTTGTTTAAAAATGTAACTCAATTATTAATGTTAATGTTACTAAGTACTCAAGAGTAGAGCAAACACTGTGTTTGACCTGATTTTTTTTTTTTTTCATCTTTAGACAGCAAACAACAGTCAGTTATTTGTACTACTCTACAGATGAATACTGGTCATCCAAACTTTTTGCAAAGCATATCCCAGCTTACATGTTTCCATTGTTTTGTGCTCCTCACTTCTAGAAACAGCAAGATTTAAAATAATTCCAAGTGTGTAATACACAAATGAGAAACAAGAAAAGAAAATGTGCAGCCCAGGTCAAGAGAAAAGAAGACCAGTGAGAAGGTAGATACCTTTCTGTCTCTCACTGAAAAGTATCTGACCTTGTATGACTGTCTGTTTTCCAGAGCATTCAGCCTCCTCTCAAACTGCAGTGCCATGTCTCTGAAGTGAGGAAGATAAGAGAGTTGTCTGTTGTCCTGAAGGATGTGCTAAGGACATATAATGCTCCAGGCAGGAACACTGAACACAAGGTGTGCCTTGAAAAATGTCAGAAGATAAGGGATGAATGAAGGTGCATGTGACCTTCATTGTGCAAGGGCTCAAAACAGGGAGACACTCAGAAAAAGGCATTGATATTTTTCCCCCCCATTTGTATGTTAAACTGTTGCTTCTCACAGGTGAAAGATGAAGAGCCATTTTCCTGAAAAAATGTCCAATTCTGCCATGGACCTTCTTCTTTAAAAGAAAAAATCCATTTACAAATATTATTCATTACATTGACACTATTTTCACCCAAATCAGTGCTTATCTCACCCTAATACAATATCAAAATCAACTCCAGCCTAGTCTGCTACAATTTAGTGCGATACTTAGCATTCAAATAATCCCACTAAAGTCAGTGCCTGTATAAGCATGAGGACTATTCACATTCTTTGAGTTTTGTCAGCAACTTCTTCACTATTTCCATCTTCACCATTCCCAGAAGCCCACAGAACTATAAAAATATTTTAACTTTTTGCTTCATTTGCCAACCTGAAAAAAAAGAAACAATGTATTTTTTTGGATCAAAGGATTTTAAATCATTATATTGTTTCTCAGAGATAGCAAAATAATTCAACAAATTATTGTCATCCTACATGCAACATTGTGTTCCTAAAAGAAAGTGTTGGACTAATAGCTTAAGAAAAGTTTGAAAAAAAAAGGAGGTTAAAATTCACAGTATTTCCAGGGAAGCTACTTATCCAATTATATATATAATCATACATGGCTAAAGCAAACAGGAGCACGGGAAACCCATAGCTACCTCTACTGCTGGAAGAAAATGGTATTCATTTCTCCTACCTACTAATGCCCCCAACACAAAAGCTATACTTAAGCAAAGACTTTTAGTTCTTCTTCCTAACATCCATTAATACCAAAAACAAGACAGTGAGAGCCAGATAATCAGAAAGCTCACCTGGAGCTGATACCGTCTCTGCACTATAAGAATATCCTGGTACCTGCTGGATAGGTCATTTCCCTGGAAGGTTAGAAACTTGATCTGAAATTCTTTCAGGCAGGAATATCTCAGACTTGATCCAGGTAAATTCTGTAACAGCTGAGCTCCTGGACACCATTAAAAAGGCCATTCTTCCACATCTCCATCCAGGACATCTAGTGCTGACAATTTTCCCTTTCCTTTGAAATTCTTTAGTAAACATGACCAAATCTGTGAGGAGGCAACCAACATAGTTCATTCTTTGCAAATAAATAATCGGGGGGAATTAAAAAAAAAAAACAACAAAAAACCACAAGCTTAGTTCTCAGTTTTGTGACCTATTTTTATACCACTCATCTAAGACATAACCTCCTGTACTAACAAATCCAATTTTCTCATCAGCTAACCCACAGAACAAAGCAGATGGATTCACAGTCACGCACAAGAACTTGTCATTACAGAACATAAGATGCCCTTCACAGAATTAACTTGTGAAAAATATCGTAATGATCTGTTCATAGATAGCTTTCTGGAAGTGGTCTCTCTTCCTTTCTGTTTCCTAGACCTGTGGTAAGTTAGCATAACTTATATGCTTCTATGGCCTCCATCATTATGGTATCAGCATGACTCACAAACATTAATTCATAGATTTATGGATTGTAAGGCCAGAATGAACTATTGGGACAGTGTAGAATGACCTTCTTCATGATTCAGACCAATAATTTTTACATCAAGTCTGTCACTTCTGCTGAGCTGTAAAATATCTTTCAGAAAATTGTTTAGCCTTCATTAAAAGATTACAGCTGATAGAAATTCTAATCTGTCTGTAATGACTACCTTTCTGGCCTTTTAAAAATGTTCCCTTTATTTCCACTTTGAATTGGTCCATTTTTGGCTTTCACTCACTGCATCTGTTTGTTCCTTTTTTACAAATTAAAGGGCAATCAGGAATATCTTGGACATCAAGACAAGGTATAAGTAAATTTTCTTTTTTCCAAAGTTAAACAATTTGGGCTTTTCTTGCCTTCCTGCTATGATCTTTTTTTATCAGTTTTTTGAACATGCCTTTCTTTCAACTGTTTGGGTTTTTTTGGTTTTGTTTGTTTTTTTTATTTTTAAGATTGGCCAATATTCTAAAATCGTTGTCTTCCCAGTTCCACATACAGTGGAAATAAAATTGCTTTACTCCATAAATGTTCACTATAAAATTAGAATAAGATATAATATTTGCTCTTGTGAGGAAAGGAACTGTTATGTCCAATTTTCAAATTAAAAAAAATAGAGATAAAAGCATCGTGATTAACATCATAAAGGAAGCATGTGGCAAAATCAGAACTCGAATACCTACTCCGTTCCAGCCCATAAAGACAAGATTATTCTACTCCTTAATTAAGCACAGAGCAATTTCCAGCATTTAGAAAAGGAGATTAATGCAAGTTCTTAGATCTGTTTGTGTCTTTTAATATTAATTATGATCAGCAGTGATGGTATTTATGACTTTTAATATACCATGTGCTATATATACATATTTTCCCTATCAAAACAAGATGCCACTGAGTTTCTTAAATTTTCTATTAAAATATTTTTTTAAAAATATTTTTTTCTTTAATGTCTATATTGTGCTTTGGAGAAACACAAACCCATACGTGCTATTTATCCACATCTGTACTATCACCGTAACACATTTTCTTTCATGCATTTCACATTCAGAGTCTGTCACTTCCAGACTGAGATGGCATACTATTTTTCAAAGTGCACTGCCATCTTCATGGTTCCATCAACTGAAGTGCCTAGGTGTTTCTTAGTTGTTAGTTTCTGTTGTTGCTACTTGAAAAAATTACACAGAAGACTTACCTTCTGATTTGATAATAGAAACCTACTAGCTAAAGATATGATCCTGCATCTTTCATTTAATTTTTTAAAAATTTATTATTTAATTTCATATTAATCCTTTTTTTTAAAAAAAAAAATAATTTACTATTTGCCAGAAATAGAAATGTTAAGTACCCTGTGATTAAACACAGGAATTATGTTTCCTGTGAGAATAAACACATACAAAACATGATCCGTTCGTGATCATTTAAGACTTCCATAGTGATACAAAGACACTGACTGGAAATAGCATAGCAGAGTAATTTTGTTCTCATTGTTCTGGGGTCACACTATTCTCTCAAAAAAGGAAGATTTATTGTGGCAGAAATGATAGATGGATCATCTTCTCTCCCCCTCCCTTAACCTTCTACAGACTTTCTCCACCTTTTCAATTTCTTGTCCCTCTGTGCATGTTATCTCTAGCAATGCAATGCTTGGTCCTGTTACACCCTGATAATCAGTATTTTAAAAAGTAGCTTTTCTTAAGAAAAGTTACTCATATGTTCCAATTATTTTGATACTTAAGACTGAATTTTTACTTATTTTCAAAGGTTTATCTACAATGTGTTGAAGTGATTTTAATTCTTCTATTTTATTATCATCCAGTATGCTCAACAGTGTGTTAATCCTTCTTATACTGCCATAAAGTCAAAGGAAAACTATCATAGCAATTTTGGTTTTATTCCAAATATACTAGCTAAGACTTAAGCTTTAATAGGAATGCATTTTTATTATTTTTCTTCTTAACTGTGACAGAAATGGGATTGCTTCTGTGACAGTTCAGGGAATTTTCTTATGTACAAATCATAAATTGCTGTATCACAAAATGTGCCACTGTATGTAGGACTGGGTATATGTAAGTCCCAGACCAAAGACAATGGAGGGTCATTAAACTTCATTGCTCTCATTCAGTGATTATATTAGGGAAAAAAAGTATTGTCTGAACACTAAGGAAAACAGTCAGTCCAAGAAAGGCTTGTGAAAAAGTTTGTCCAGAGGCAGAATAAACATTATTTAGTAAGAATTACTTTTATTAATATTGTCTCATTTTGATCATTATCTGTAAGTTAAATGCTACCTGGGATAACCTACAGGGATATCAAGTCTCAAAAACTTGTAGAGGATGAGACCAGGAGATCCCTGTTTGGTTTTTTCTCATGCTTAGCAGTGTATGGCACATATCCTAAAAATTAAGTCCCAGACTTGGTCAATGGCTTACGTCTAATGGACTTAATATAAAGGGTAAAGAAAACCTCCCACAGAGTTACTACATTAATTTGTCAGAAAATGAATCATCACAACTTCGAGGTAGCAGCAATTTAAGATAGATTAGCACTATTATGGTAAACCACAAGATTAGGTTGTATGATTTTTAACAATATTTAATCATCAGCCAGTTATCAGAGTGATTTAATAAAATTTGCTATAATCAACACTATAAAGTTTCCTAAATTGAATCACACCCACACAAACACACACACACATAGACATAGAAGTTAACCTATGATCAAGACTTTTTCTCTCTTTGCCAATTGTAGTAAATTAGTGGTACCAAATTATCTTTGAAACGTCAAAAAATCTAATTGTAGTGAATTACTTGCTATTCTCCTTTGTCAGCTGACAATCTTTGACCCCTTCTTCCTTGTAGGCATCTCTCAGTGGATGATCTTGGAAATTCTTGCAAAATCTACTTTCTGAAATCTACCCTGATAGGCAATCCCAGCTCAGGGGGTCACACTGTGTCACAGCTTGCTGTAATCCTGGTGAGCAAAAGGGGTCTCACTTAGGATCACTATTTATAGGATTGCGAGATAATTGGCTTTGGTCAGTATATCTCAATTCTGGCCAGAATTCCTGTCAGGTAATTCTGGCACCTTCCAGAGAATGCCATGATCTAGGCAGCAGGAGTTTCTGGTATAACTAGGGAGTGCCTGTTGTCCTAATTCCACTGTACCATAACCAGGACAAGAAAGTACTAGATTGTTGCAAATCACTGCACTTGTAAACGAAACAAGAATACAATTTTCTGACATCGCAATGTGGCCCAGGGGTTCTCTGCCGCCACCGGACCTCAAGACCATATACCTGAGGATTGAAATTAGAACATCTCTGTTGTAGCTGGATGATCTACAACAATTTATACCAGTTTGAGTCTAGTGCTGAAGCCAAATCAGTGACTGAAACTTAAATATTTGTCTTTCGGGTAATTTATTTCTATACTTTCTATGTCTGCATCTTTCTTCTCCATATACTAGCTTTGGTTACATAGAAAATGGAAGTGGTTTCCTCAAAAAAACTTGAGTCTTGTTCTACACTGAGACAAATCTGACAGTTTTTCATTAGCATGTGTGTGCATGTTTTGTATATATACATGTGCATATTTATGTGTCTGTATATTTAAAGTAAGCAGGGCCTTCTTCCAGTTAAGGGGTAGTATTCACACAGAAAGTATGAAAACCTGATTTAAACCATGCCTAATTCAGACAAAACAGTTGAACTTGGATCTGCTACAGCCCACTTAAGTGACAACCTTGTTATTATTCTCTGCTGGTCCCCTTACCTTGACTGGAAATTCTGTCCTTTTCATCAAAAGTTTTGTCAAGACTGTCATATCCAAATTTTTTAAAGGAGAGCTTATCAATCACCATGGTTTTGATGAGAAAACATTCTTGATCAGACCTAGTCACAATTTTTTTCTCTGCCATCTGCCTGTACCCATCTGTTATCTGTTTTAAGAATAAATGTAATTTAGGACAGGGAGTGTCTTGTTAATTTTTGTTTTTAAAATGCCTAGCACAAGAGGGTCATGGTTCAAGCCAGGAAGATAATGCAGTTTCTTCTCAATTCAAATGACAAATACAATAACCTACACCAACAAGTTCCCTGGCAGGGAGGTGCAGAATGAAGGCAGTGGGATAGGGTTTCCTACAGTCTCTTCCCTGTAAACTCAGCATTCTAGTCCCAGGCATTAAGTGAAACTTTGATAATGAATGGTTCGGTCCTGGCTCTGAATGATCAGGTAAATTTTTATTTATTTTCTGAAGAAGTTTTTTTCCTAATTTCTAGTAACATTTTCATTTGGGGCAAATGACATCATGGTGATGTCCATGCCTCTAGTTGCATCCTTCATTCAGGAAAGTCTATAATTTTGAGACAGCTTTTTGGGGCGTCACAGCCATTTTGCATTTGTTTGCTTTACCACTTCCCTCAAGAAGCTTCATCTTTTCTTTTATACATGGCAGCTGAATACAGGATAAATCTTTTTCAGTAGGTGTAATGTTAGCTTTTAAGCAGCCTCCAGGGAGTGAGAGGAGTTA